TTTCCGCTAGATTTAGCGGGCGAAATTTTCCGATATACTTAGCGAGGCAAATTTACCGCTAAATGTAGCTGGGAAGATGTTCCGCTAGATTTAACGGCGAAAATTTTCCGCTAGACTTAGCGGGGCAAATTTTTGGCTAAATCTAGCTGGGAAGATTTTCTGCTAGATTTAGCAGGGCAGATTTTCCGCTAGATTTAGCGGTGCAAATTTACCGCTAAATCTAGCTGGGAAGATTTTCCGCAAATTTAGCGGAGAAAAATTTCCGCTAGAGTTAGCGGGGAAAATTTCCCGCTAAATTTAGCGGGGAAAACTTTCCGCTAATTTAGCGGGGCAAATGTTCCGCTAGACTTAGTGGGGCAAATTTCCCGCTAAATCTAGCTGGCAAGATGTTCCGCTAGATTTAGCGGGGAACATGTTCCGCTAGATGTAGCGGGGAAAATTTCCCGCTAAATTTAGCGGGGAAATTTTTTGCTAGATCTAGCGGGGAAACTTTTCCGCTACACTTAGCGGGGCAAATTTCCCGCTAAATATAGATGGGAAGATATTCCGCTAGATTTAGTGGGGGAAATTTTCCGCTAGATTTAGTGGAGAAAATTTCCCGCTAAATTTAGCGGGAGAGTTTTTCCGCTATATCTAGCGGGGAAAAATTTCCGCTAGACAGCGGGGCTAATTTTGCGCTAAATCTAGCTGGGAAATTTTTCCGCCAAATTTAGCGGGAAAAATTTCTCGCTAAATATAGCGGGGAAAATTTTCCGCTAGACTTAGCGGGGAAATTTTTCTCCTAAAATTAGCGGGGGAATTTACCCATCATGCACCGCGTGTTTACGCCGACGCCGCTCAAGTCGGACAAGGGCGCCTAAGAGCTGCGCTTTAAAAATAGTAACCAACACATCAATCAAGCCTCGTTAACAGTGGAACTAGTAACTCAAAGTAATCCCATTAGTGATCCAATTATCAATTGCCGCCCCCCCCCCCCAAATTCTAATTGTATAAACAATTGTTCTAAGTTACCAAATGTTTAAGCAAAACACGACCACTGAACACAATAAGTGCATATATATATTGTGGATTAAATTGACTGACCCCGGGATTAAATTGTGTGGCCCTTGGATTAAATTGTATGGCGCTTGGATTAAATTGAGTGACCCTGGGATTAAATTGGTCGTCACTTGGATTAAAATGAGCGGGAAAACCTGTAGACTAGCATGCTGTACAAAAATAATGAAAGCCGTTTACAACTCTCTCTAACGCCGAATTAGAGCGCTGCTCTTGAGGAGGAGGAGGAGGGAAGGGTACTGAGGAAAGGGTACACCCCTCCTCCCTCTTTTTCACCTCCTCATCCTGCCTACTACACCTCCCTCCGAGCGGCGTCGGCGTAACCGCGAGGTCACGTGGCCCTCGTGACGTCGCGTGACCCTCGTGACCTGACGGGGGTCACGTGACGTCACCGGAGTCACGTGACTTCACGAAGGTCACGTGACCTCACGGGGGTCACGTGACCTCATGGGGGTCACCTGCCCTCACGGGGTCACGTGACCTCACGGGGGTCACGTGAGCTTGGCGGTCACTTAACGCTACGAAGGCCACGTGACATCACCGGGGACACGTGACCTAACGGTTGTTACGTGACCTCAGGGGGTCACGTTACCTCACGGGGTCACGTGACGTCACCGGGTTCACGTGACCTCACGGGGGTCACGTGACGTCACCGGGGTAACGTGATCTCACGAGGGTCACGGGATGTGACGTGAAACACAACGTGACGTTACGGTTACGCCGACGGCGACTGCGACGGCGCTGAAACCGGAAACAGGCGCCTACGAACTGCGTTCTAAAAGAACTTCACTGCACTTTGCTTTAATTAACTACAGTATACTAAAGACACTGGTTCCCGAGGTAGTAGCCAGAATAGCGACCCTTTCCAGAGCCAAAATGGTTGCTATTTCGGTTTTGGAAATGAGCAATTTCTTCTTGACTTTTCTATTCTTGGCGAGCTAGTCTAAGTTCGCTGTTGACGGGTAGTTTTATAAAGCCCTTTCTTGTATAATGATATTTTGCTACCTACACACCAGTTAAACAAGAGTACATCTTCCTACCACCACCACACACGGTGTCGGTGCTTGGAGGCGTTAAAAAAATAGACCTTATTCACTATTAGTGCCATCTCTCGGGGGTCCTGCGCACTTTCGCGCCATCTTTGAGGCTTCCTCGCCGTCTCGGCTCTGCCTGCTTAGCGTTCTTTGCGCTAGGTCTTATGGTGTTGCTTTTTTTGGGAGGTGTAGTGGCGTTAGTATTTCGAAGTGCATTATATTAGCAAAGGGTTGCGTGGCTTGCGTTCAGAATGACCGCAAGAACACCAATGACATAGTCACCGGGAAAACTGCCGCACAGAAGTGCCAAAATCGTGAGACGATCATGGACAGCTGTTGCTTCGGTGTTGCTGCTCCTTTAATACGGTCATCTGGAGTGCCACATTTCGAGAAAATTGGGCAGAGCTCGCAGTGGAATCAGGCAGCTCTGTCATTTTGACACTCAGAGACTCCAACGCTACAATTATTTCAAGATTGGCTCTAACAACTTCAGATTAAAAAGGAAAACATTATTTGCAAATTTACTTCGGTTGGCTCGTTATTTTCCTGTTGGTTGCACAACGAGACTCAAGGGTAGTGCGGCATCATGTTCAGCCTCTAACAGCGCTCTGCCCGTAGCTTCAAACATGGGTCACCATATTTGGGGCTGCTGAAGGAGGTTGGCGCAACGTACGACAGATGGAGCGCGAATCTGAATAAGGTCTGTTGAGAGCCCTTCCACCCCGTGAAGAGGGAAGTCCAGCGGAGCTGGCGCTGTGCTAGAGACAATGACGTTTTATTATAGCGCGGCTATGCCAATCACGACGCAGGCTCCAGTGCACCGCAAACGCTGTCACCGAAGAGCGCGCAGCATTGCGCAATGTCATGGGGGGAGAGGTGTTTTTTTATTGCGCGGCTACGCCAATCACGGCGCAGTCTGTTGTGCGCCGCACATGTGGCCGCCGAAGAGCGCGCGGCGTTGCGCAATGTCAGGCAGGAGAGAGATGCCGCGTGTGGCGAGGAGTATTCACGACTCGGGAAAGAGGCCGCGGCAGTGGAGAGGAGTATAAAGTGGGACATACATCGTTGCGTTTGAGGATTGTTGGTGCACGCTTGGTCTGTCGCCGGAGACGATCCGCCAGAACCTGGCCATAGACAGTTTCGCTGTAAACATTTTGTTTTGTATTGATTTAGGCAACAAAATCTATTCCATTGTAAGACATCCATGAAGATGAGCACGATTGAGAAGTTGATTGCATACACAATTGCAAAGACGGTTATACTGGCGAGGAACGCCTTTAGTACGATGATACCCCATAGCGATATTGGTGTGACTGGTTTGGGACGACCCTCTCGAAGCTTCGAAGATATGAAGGGGCTGAAATGGCGATTGCCAGAGCAGCCGGTTGCGGTCGCTCGTTTGTGTGAAGCGTTTTTCCCGTTTTTCGCGCTCCAAGGGGCCTCGATCTATTCCTGGTCCCGGGGTTCGAAGCCTCCGCCATGTCAACGCCCACCAAGGCGCCGGCCTTGGTGGGCGTTGACATGGCGGAGGCTTCGAACTTCGGTGCTTCTCGTTGAGCGTTCCGGCGGACACTCCGGTGGATGCTATCATAGACAGCATTCAGGCCGTCGCCGGCGGGGATGGCCTGTCGTACCCGCAACACCACGGTGGAGCAAGGTTCATGGCGGCGGGCAGCAAGGGTTAGCGCAAGGGTTCTTGTCGCTTGGTAACGTGGAAGTCTTTTTGGAGCCAATGGGAGCCCCCGTTTTGTTTGTGTCTGTGTACCGCCTTCTCCCGTACGTGTCAAAGGAAGCAGTGGTGCAAGTCCTCGCACAACTCGAATAACCCCGCGAATAACCCACGTTTCGAGACCGCCCGGACGTCGGGACCGCGCCCGGGTTGTCAGGATAAAGATGTCAGTAGTAAAAAACAGTTGGCCAGTTCCGCCAACTGATTCACAGTTGGCCACTTCGACCAACTGTCAATCAAAGTCCCAAGGGGTCAAGGCCAGCCCCGACCAATCACAGAGCCGCAGGGCGGGGCCTCTTCCCTCTCTCCCATCTCAGAGACTAATGACAGGGCATGGGCGTTGGCCAGTGACCAATCGGAGCTCAAACCACAAGCGTGGTTGACCAGGTGTTGACAGCTGTGGTCATCATCTGATCACAACCACCTCAAACCTCAGACCTCAGACCTCAAACCAGAAGCGTGGTTGACCAGGTGTTGACAGCTGCGGTCATCATCTCATAACAACTACGTGATGCCACAGGGTCCGGCTTCGTTCGACAGAGGGCGCTATATAGGACTTGAATTGCGGCGCTAAGGGTGTCTCACGGGTGATGTCACAGCTGCATCCAACAGAGGGCGCTGCGCTCCGGTCACGTTTAGTGAATTTGAATCGCTGGGCGGTATATGCATTTTAATCGTTTAAAAAAGGCTCCACGGCCGGCTGGGAATCGACCTCTCTACCTTGGGCACACCAGCCCGACACTCTACCCCCTGAGCTACGGGCACATTTTTTTGTGTATTTATTACATGGAAAAAGGACAGTAAAAACAATCAAGACACATTCTAACAGAGCTATCCCTTATTTACATTCAAACTGGCTGATAATGGTCACATGGAAATACGAAGAAAGAGGGGTCACATGAAGAAATGGGGTCACATCTCTAAAAGTCGGGAAGGTGAACACATTTGTCAAGAAGGGTATACCATTCTGAGCGTTTCTTGAGGCGGTCGTACACATTACGTACATGTGACACAGTTTCTATAAAATTGGACTTTGTAGACCGTGGAGGATCAGCATTTCTATCAATCATCCTTGTTTTCCAAAGGCTATGCAGACCCATCAATGTGAACAGGTCCTAAGGAAAAGTATCATTTTGGTTTAAAGGCAAAAAACGTATCGTATATGCACAGATATTCAAATCTTTCTTCAATGTCCTTTGTAGGACATGCCAAAAAAAATAGGCGTCGGTGCAAAAAATAAAGCAATGTTCTATTTCAGGCTGGTTGCACAAACGGCAGTTCACTGACCAAGGAACAAATATACCTTTTTCGCGAAGCCAAGGCTTTACCGGCAACGTTGAAGTGTGGAGCTTATAAAAGAATGACTTCGCTGTCGGTGAGACATGTAGCTTACACACACGTTTCAGGATGTCTTGTCCCGGGCCATTACTGAACATACTTTGGTACAGGGGTATAGGAAATGATGCATCGATGAGATCAACATATAAAGCTTTCCGCGACACTTTAAATAAGTATTCCAGGGAAAAACGTGCTTTAAGGAACTCTATGAGCTCACTACCTCTCCGAGGTATCCCTATGGACGAGATGTGCTCGCAGACACTGTTGTTACTACCAAATACGGCAACGCACTTGAAAGCTCTGCCTGCATGTAAGTTCGAAGGAAGTCATGAGACACAGTTCTGAAGAACAAGAAGCGTGATATGATTTGTTTTGAAAAGACGTGTAAAAGCCCGAGACCGCCTTGCTCAACCGAACGAAACAGGTTATCTCGTCTCATGGGTTCCCAAGTGGAACCCCATGCAAAAGTTGCAAACAATCTGTGAAACTTCTGAATATGGCCTCTAGTACAGCAAATCACCTGAAGTGCGTACCAAAGTTTTGCTGCTAAGAAGATATTACAGGCTTTCGCCCGTCCAAAAATAGACCACTGATTTACTTTCATTATTGCCGCTTGAGTTTTCATCTTTTCAACCCTTTCTGTCCAATAATGTCCATTGTTCCTAACGCAATTAAGGGGAGCTCCTAAGTACTGAGGGGCAATGCAGCTCCATGAAATGCCAGCGTACTTTGAAGGTGTTGTGGCCCATTGCCCGCACCAGAAGCCTGTACACTTTGCCTTGTTGATGAGCGCCCCAGTCGTAGAACAGAAGTTTTGAGCTAAAGCGAACACATTGTCTACGCTTCGTTTGTCCTTACAGAAGAACGCAATGTCATCCGCATATGCCAACACTTTTACCTCTGTGGAGTAGAAACGGTATCCTTCTACAGTAGGGCTATTTAGTACGCTTAGACATAGGGGCTCTAAGTATAGTGCAAACAAAAGGGTGGACAAGGGGCATCCCTGTTTGACGGATGACTCTAGACGAATTGGACCTGACAAAGAGCCATTGACTATAAGCCTAGTGGTACAATTGCGGTAGCATATCTTTATTCCTTTAAAAAGTGTTGGTCCTAAGTTTACGTGGCGGAGTATGTCGAATAGAAAAATATGAAAGACGCGATCAAAAGCTTTTGCTAAATCCACTTGAACCATAGCCACTTGATCTGCATGAGCACAACAGCTCTCTATTATTGTACGAGCTACGTGTATGTTTGTCTGTATCGTTCTGCCCTTAATTCCACAAGTCTGGTGATTGCCAACAACGCTGGATGTGATGTATTGAAGTCGTTTTGTCAGAATTTTTGCAAAGATTTTGTAGTCCACATTGCAGGGTGTAATAGGGCGGTACCCTTCAACAATTAGGAGTTTATCTGCCTCTTTACTTTTTGGGATTAAAACTGTATGGCTCTTATAAAAAGAAGGTGGTAGTGTTTCCTGCTCATACGCTTCCAGATATACTTTAAGTAGAAACGGGCTTAGGAGGTCCTTGTATTCTTTATAAAACTCTGCTGGGAGTTCATCGGGCCCTGGTGTTTTTGAATTTGGTAATTCATCTATCGCGCATTGTACTTCTTCCAATGTGGTTGGTCTACCAAGGAGATCGCTCTTAAGCTGGCTAACCTGGGGCATCAAAGAGACTAGATATTTAGCTTTTTCTTTATTTATCGACTGCGTTTGCCCGAAGACGCTCTGGTAGTGTGTTTCAAAAGCGTTCATGATGTCAAGTTCGTCAAATGATAATGCCCCGTTACAATTCAGAAGTTGTATTCTTTTTGACTGTCTATTTCGAGTCTCATCGTCAAGTGCTCGTCGAGTGGGTGTCTCTGAGGATAGAAATCGTCTACAACGAGACCGTACTAGTGCTCCATGGAACCGTTTTTGTTCGTGACTTTGTATCTGACACTTCACTCGTTGTATTTCTTCATGAAACAAACCAGGCGTCTAGCACTCTAGCTCGTGGAGGGTCTGTAGGTTGCGTAAAAGAAGAGTTTTGTCTTTCTTTGCATGGAATGATGTTATGCACGAGTATTCAATTGCTTCATTCTTAATTTCTTGTTTAAACGAGTCCCACTGGGCAAAAATGCCGAATAGGTGGTTCGTACTCGCCTTATTAAATTTTCTCGAACTCGCTTGCTAAACTCTTTGTCTTCTAATAGTCTCGTATTAAATTTCCATAAAGCCCAATTTGGTGGTGATTTGCGTTGTACGTCTCTACCGATGCACGCCCTTACAAGGCAATGGTCCGAAAAGGAAACTGGCTTTACGTCGTAGGCACTCACTTGTGCAAAAAGGGGACTTGATACATAAATGCGACCAGTCTCGCATTGCATGTTGCATGAAGATGGGTAAATCGATTAGAAACGTTTTGCGAAGCCCCAACGTCAAAAGGTAGTAATCAGATGTGAGACTGTTCAAAATTTCGGCACTGCTATCACGCCTTGTAGAAGGCACTGATCTGTAGCTAACGTTACAGACACAGTTAAAGTCTCCGAACAAAACGATCTGCTTGTCTGTATCAAGAAATGGGGCAAGATTTTCAAAGAAAAAACGTCTCTCTCGCTCGCCGTTATAAGCGTAAATACACAGTAAACGAAAAAAGAAAATGCCCCGTAACAGAAAATCACAACATATAAACCTTCCTTTGTCGTCAACGACATGTGACAGTGAAGAATAACCCAGGCTTTTTTTCAGAAACAAAAAGCACCCTCCCGACAAGCCATCAGCATGACTGACACATACCTCGTATGTCAAGAGGAAAGGGTCCAGTGCTCGAGCGGTGTCCTCATCAGACGATATCTTTGTTTCCTGAACGGCAACAAAGTCTATCTGTTCTTTTAAGAGGAGCCTATATACTTGGGACTGTCGCGCACGTGAACACAGTCCTCTGACATTGAGGGTAGCGAAGCTGAGTGGGGGGCGTGCCATGGGCTATACTAGTTGTTATGTAGGTGAAACATCATTGTCTTTCATCTCGTTGTCCGGCTGTGGAGCCGGGCTGTAAGGGTCTTCTCGGAGCGCTGCTGGCTTGCGCTTTTCCTCTCCTCCCTCGTCATTCTTGCTCTCCTTCTTGGCACCCATTCCAGAAGGCTGGGACGACTCAGCCTTAGGAGCGGGTCTCTTGACGGATGCTCCATTGGATGTGGTGGAACGCTCCCGGCGAGGCAGTGGCTGTTGGCTGCAGGACGGCTCCTCTGTTACCTCCAAGAGAGGGTACTCGTCTTCCGACCAGTTTCGCACGGTTGCTCTAGTGGTTATCGTAGAGTCTTCTTTGATTGGCTCAGATGAGACATCATGCGAAACGGGATTGGTCGTTTGTGCTTCTCGGGAAGCAGTTTCCCGTTCTGTCCTTGGTGCTATGGAATCGATGACTTCTCCTGTAGCGTCAACCATCTCACTGATGTCCATTAGGTGATCTTGAACAACGTCATCAAGAGGGGATCTCACCTGTCGGAGCTTGTCGGCGTATGTCGATACACATTCGTCTGTAGAGTGTCCATAGCGGCGGCATTCGCCGCACCGAGGAGTTCTGCACTCTCGACGTATGTGCCCGATTCGGTTGCATCGGAGGCACAGCGGAGGGCGACCAGGAACGATCACGAGGCTTCGGCAGCCGAAAACCGTGAGTTGGTGCGGGATTTGGGTGCTGTTCATCCCTTCACGGAGTGTTAACGTTACTTCCTTGTTTAAAGTCTCCATTTGCTCCATCCCTGGGCAACTCCACTTCTCTCGAACGATTGAACGAACCGTACCGTAGGGCGCTAGCGCCTCTTCGATTCGCTTGTTCTCCATGTGGACCGGCAGCCACAACAACTTGAGTTTAACGTCTCTGCTGTCTGGGTCGATGACTATGTATCTGTGTCCCTTCACACAGAGCTCGACCTTGTTGACGAGCTTGGCTTTCGCCAAAGCGCTAGTACAAGTTACCATTCATACGTGGCTCATTTGGAATTGGCCGATTCCGATGATATCTTGAGCCTCAACCACTCCTCGTAAGGCATTACGGAAGTCAGGTGCGCGGTAGGGTCTCGCGGCAAGATCTCCATGCAGGAAAACAGAGTTTAGGCTCAAATTACCTGTGGGTAGACGAGGTAAGACGGTCCGGTTATCAGTTGTCATGGTTTCCGAAGAACTGGCCGAAGCCTCAGCATTTCCCCGGCCAGTGGCCGGTGTATTTTTCTTAGAGAACATAAAGCGCGTCCGTTCGGAACGGCGTCTTCTTCTTTCTCGAGCTACGGGCACATTGCTTCTGAGACCGCTTAAGTCGTCTTAGTTAGAGCCACTAAATGAGCTGCGCTTAGAGTATCGGCACTCCGTTCCCCGACATTGTTGTGGGCGCCGCCATTTTGGCTCGTATGCAGAGCAGACACAACTGCCGATCGTCCTGATTCATAAGGGAGGCTTCCTCAGCGTTAGAGTTGGTGTTAGGAATAAGGTCATCTAAGATTGCTTTGCTCTGTCGCGAAATGTTTAAACATTTGCAGAGGGCGGAGAAGCGTTTCCTGTGATTTCAGATAAAGCTTCAGATAACTGGCAACCATGATTTTAAGACACAATATGGCGAAGTGTCGTTACTCTGAAGCGTAGCTTATTTAGTGGCACTAGTCTTAGTTGTTCGTGTGTGTGTGCAATTCAGATCACGTGATGTCCCGCGCGCAACTTGGCTTTCGTAATACGGTTAAAAACAGGATGCGTCATTGCCGCAGGTCATGTGACCATGGTCGTGTGACGTTGCTCGTCTTCCTATCACGTGATTTCGCGCGCGCGCGATTCAAACGATGCTCGCGAACTCGTAGCCTCGTGGCGCCCCCTTCGCTATTACAAATAGGGTCTTCGACCCGCTGAATTTCGACGTCATGTGACGTCCCAAATAGCAGCAGCTGGGTCCCGCTAAATTGGGGTGAATGTAAAATTTTGAAGCTCGCGGACCGTGATTGATGTTGATCCTGCATAAAGCTTTAAAGTGACCCTGTTAAAATATGAGGCAAGCTTGTAAAACTTTGCAAAGACCCAGCGAATTTTGGGTATAGGCGCCATCTAGTGTTCAAATTGTGAAGTGGTCCTCGTCAAAATTGGGTGCCATCTGGTGGTAAAAGCTTCGACCCGCTATAAATTTTGGGGGTCATGTGAAGGTCCCAATTAGCACCAGCTGGGTGCAGCTAAATTGGGGATGAGGTAACGGTAAAGCTTTGAAGCTGGCGGACCGTGTTAATTGTTGGACCAACGTTAAGCTTTGAAGTGAACTTGCGTAATTTTGCGGGCCAGCGTAAAGTCCTTAA